ATGTGAACCTGAAATGTGCAACCTACCCCAACACGGCCATGTCGGCCGCATGCAAACACGGCCGGTTACACAGCTTGGCGATAATGTGACTTCTGCTATTCTGTGCTTTCTCAACCATTCACTCTTTTCGAGATTTAAGTATCCTGGGCCCGACTGAGGATTAGAATTAATTTCATTCCAATTCTTCGAGCATCTAGGTTCGAACAGTTGTTGATCCTCTGAACGTTTTGTCTGCGAATGAGGTTGAGACAACTCCAACTGGACTTGTGACCTCTAATACTTACGGAAAGCTCTGCTGAAGGCACTTATGAAATCTCTAACTAACATGGTAATGACGTTCCAACTATTTCCATTTGACGCATCCGATTCACTTGTCCATTTTGGGAATGAATCTTTTGATCTCATAGAGGCAAATCTCCGCCGTGAACTAAACTTATGCTAGCTCCATTCAACGTGGATATTGGCTCTAAAAAGGTCTCTAATATCTCTGAGAGTGGGTATCCTCGGTGCCCTTCGCACCATCGGCCTAATGCCCCCATTGCTTTATCAATCCTCACGCAACTCTCATGATGTTATTCACGAATGCTGTCGATGTGAATATGACCAATGCATATCAACGGGCCGATGCAACTGTGCAAAGCCCGCCAACTAAGCGTTTTCTCAAATACCTCCTGCCTGATTACTCCCCAACCGGCCACTATGATCCCAGCGTCATCAAGTTTTCGTATGCTCTTGCTTGTGTTAGGGCCTACAACCATATATTTGACAGGTGAGTAGTAAGGACCCTTGTCAATAACGTCCATTTTGATTATGCCAGAAGGGTCGTAAGAATGTTTCAATTTTTTCGCTTCCCACAATCCCTGAGGGTGGAGATGAAAGAACAGCATAATATCGTTGAAAAATAGCTTTTCAGACTAATGCGCGAGCCTGACAGAAGACGCAAAGGAGGAATTTGATTTCATGATGATAGAAGGTATGAGCGGAAAGGCACGTTACATGGCATGGAAGAGAGTTTCGATGTAGCACAAGAGGTTGGAAGGCAGAAGACATACTAAATTTTGGTAGAATGTGGATAACATTCCATTCTTCACTTACTTGCACATTGCCCTCAAGACTCCGTTGAGCAAAAATGGGTAATTCGCTTGTTGCTGCATCACGGAGACCCTGCAGAAAGACCTCGAAACCTTCCGGACTGCCCTGTTGCCAGTCGGACAAACTATTCTTGAGGTTCCTCAGATCGGCAGCCGTAGCTCCTGTAATCCGAACAAGGACCGCTTTTGAGCTAGTGCTCTGATCCAGCATCCCGGTCACAATGTCCCGCTTCGACAAAGAAGGGTCCGGATAAACACCAATCTTTGCGCAATTTTCCACGATCGTCTCGTATGATTTCTCGACCTCAGCATCGGTGATTTCCCCGAGGCCTGACCATCTGCCTGCGCTCCATCATCCTGCAAATCCTCCACCCAAACCTCCGACCAGACGTCCTAGTAACCCGCCGATCGGACCGCCAACAGCGGTGCCAGCCATTGCTCCGAGTTCCGCTCCTCCCCACCCTCCCGCGGAACTGACCATGCTAAGGCCAGTGTTTTTTCCGAATCGTGACCAGTCCCCTGTAGGTGCAAGGCTGGCCATGTTGAATAGCGAGCCGACAATAACCCCCACGACGGCGCCGTAACCGAAAATCCGATGATCAATTTGAGATGAGCAAGCTGAAACCGCGCTACCGTATGCGCCGCTGATGCATAACTTGAGGAAGTAGTTCTGGAAGTCTGCATCAAAGAGGGTTTTGATGTCAAACAAAGCTGTTGCTGCCATATTAATGCCTGCTGCGTTAACAGCATTGCGCACGAATGTCGTCCTCATGAAACTATCTGCGTTCATGTCTGCCGTTGTCTTGGGGATGCCGATCTTTTGAGATGCTTTGAGAACAGCTTTGTGATACTTTGAAGATTTGTCAAGGAGCTCACTTTCCAGGGCACCCAGCTCTCGGTTGTTCAGTTTGTGCATATGCAAAACTCCCTTTCACGCCTTCGCACCGTCTCCATAGGTTTCAAAAGGCTCGAAGACTGCTGCGCCTGCCCCAAACTGCAATGCCATGTCCACTTCTTGGTTGGCTCCGTGTCCTAGAAAGGCGCGAGCTACCAGCTGGTGAAAATGAACTCGGTCCTGTTGCCATCGGTCATTTACCGTCTGGACATGTTTTGCACTTAAGGGAGGACTTGGTTTGCTGAGCATCATCGTAAGACTGATAGTCTCCTGATTGACTTGCATGACAGATTGGATCTGTTCCACCGTGAGTCTGGACAACAGCGTCATCRCCTCCTGGAGCTGCTCCTTGCTCATTTTGTATTGTAAAGAAGAAAAAGAAAAACGATAGAAAAGCAAGTGGAATCTTTTTGGTTTGAAGAGCGGATTACGCCGTAGGATTCTGAAGCAAATGAGAAAAGAGGTAGTTTATCGTGGCAGGTAGTCATCCACTTGATGATGGGCCTGAGCTCCCATTTGGGCATCAATGCTTCGTGCCTGTGCGCATA